TGGGTTTGAGTGGGTTTTGCTAACGTTTTTCTAGAGTCAAAAGATATGGATCCCATTTCGGATACATAGATGTATCATCAGAGAAAAAATATTCATTATTTTTAAAATTACATTTTGTGAAGTTTCTTTTTTGACTCAGTATATTATTGACGCCTTACACAACCAGTATAGTAGTATCTGTATATGACCACATTGTGTACGTTTCTTATACAACTATTATTGACGCCTTACACAAACAGTATAGCAATATCTTTAAGAACCCCGAGTATTATATCCATAATGCTTTATGTCTACTTAAACATCCAAACTGTGCGCCGTACATGAACATGCATAATTACCCTTTTGTTTGTCATCACATCAATCAGTCCATTGTCCAGGGCACTCTCCATTTTGTCCTTTACTATATACACATGTTTACATCTGTACTATTGAATAGTCTCGTACACCTGTATTTACAACTGTGAGTAGGACACACCTGTTTGCTGGACTTGTTTGATGTTTGTAATCTCAGAACATTGCACGTAAAACATCACATTTTTCCACTTTGTACACCAGGACCCAGTGTGACAAAACTTCAGTGCTTGTCCCCTGGGGCATTTGTCACGTATCATGGGGCCCATGTATGGTCCAGTGACGTTAAATATTCAAATCCCTAACACCGATTTAACCACCTGCTAGAACGCTAACTGCTTCATATTTGGTCCAATGTCTAAACATTCAGTGTGACCTAAAACGTCTCCACAAGACTGTACAGCAAGTGTGAGGGCTTGGACATTACCTGCAGCTGCGGATTGGTGGACTTGTCTCTGTTACTTGCAGGTTGTTAGCTACATATTATTTATAAGTTAATACTTTCATTATGATCTTCCTCAAGTCTCGTCAACATGATATTGGCAAGCTAACGTCCATTAAATCATATTAATATGTTGTTTCAAACATATGGCCTCCAACAACAGTAAAGATTGATTGGTTGGTTGGTTGATTGACTGATTGATTGACTAAAACCTTTTATCTGAGCACTATTTTAATGGGAATGATAGTATGTTATCTATAACAGGTGAAGTATGTGCTAACGCAGTATGTCACTCTGTTCTCGGGAACCCCTGCCCCGTGACCGAGCAAATATACAAACACACGTTGCAGATGCAGAGAGCATAGTCATATCAATTTCTATGTAAAGTCTATGAAAGCTTAGCCAGAGCACAACAAGCGACTCCTGGAGAACGAAAGCCTTCCTAGAAAACTGAATGGATGATTGCGCAACACTTCCCAGTACGGAGATGGAATGCGATGCGGGTATAGCTAATGCCTTATTTGGGCATATTATGATCGCTGCGTGGTCATGTGGATATATATACACCAGCTATTAATATCTTGAAAGTAGTGGTTCATGTTTTTGCTCGTTAAAGGAGACATATTGAAGATAAACTTCTTAACATGTGTTATATGGCCAGACAAAGTATAGCTTCGTGCTGTGACGTGATAGTGGAGCGGCGTCTGCCATTTTCCTTTGTTTACGTTCATCTGCGTGCGTTCAGCTACACAACAATAACATGATTTTCCCGTCATTCGCTGTGTGCAGTAGATGCGAGATGGGATATTGTGTTGCATGGGGCTGTACTAGCCTGTCTCATTGTCCCTGAACCACATTAATTTCCCTACTACCTAGCCCTCCCTGCAATCCTAAAACCCTAAATGAAGCAAGTCTAGATTTTCTCACTGGGTCTCCTTTTCAGTTTAAGTGGGTGTATTTGCTACTATCATTATTATATATATTATATATTATATCAGTCCATAAAAAAGAGTCCCATGCATGTGTTTTTCCTTAAGACAACCAAGCCTAAGGGCTGATTTACCGAGGACATTTTGAATACAGCGCTGTCTTGTGTCCTTGCATTTGAAAATAACTTCCATTGAAAAGACGAAATTTGACGAACGTGACTTGCCGATGTAAAAGCCGCTCAATGTGTTTTCAACACAAACATGGTGAACTTCTCGACAATGTTTAGAATGTCTATTTATATTGGTGCTCAAGCTATTCTTGAAATCTGCTATATCTAGAGTTTCTATAAGCCCCAAATCAAATCATTTCCGATTTTAATAATACCCCCCCCCCAAAAAAAAAAAGAGAAAGAAAGAAAAAGAAACGTACGACGTTTCCAGCAGTTCATTTCGATATATTTTTATAGCAATCGTCATTAAGACAATTCCTACGTTTGAATCCCATTAAACATGCCGTGTAGTTGGTGCATGCTGAGGACATGTTGATAATCATACAGCTGTAGGTTACAGCTGTTTAGGCGCCAAGCAACACATGACACTCTGTTTAGGTGAGGTGCGGTTTATTGAGATAGTCAATTAGTCAAACAAGCCCTGACAATAGACGATGCAATCTGTGATACAACTAGATAAGTATTTTGTAACCCTGTAATTTTACAATAAAATTGTACATTAAAACAAAGGAAATATAACAACATATGACAAAAACCGTACCCATTTGTGGAATAGAACTCTAGAGACTAGGCCATGTTGTGATTTTTCCCTAGATCACATAATAATAATAAATAATAATAATGTGGGTATTTATATAGCGCTACATCCAGGTACTAATTACCGCTCATGGCGCTACAATATTATAGGAGAAAAGAAAATAGGTAAAACTATTTACAGAGAGACAATTGAACATAGAAAGTCTAGTACTAGACAAGACGAAAAAAGTGTGTTTTTAGAGACGATTTAAATGTGTCCAAAGATTCAGCATTCTTGATGTGAGTGGGCAAGTTGTTCCAGATACTGGCGGCTGCGTGTTGGAATGATCTTTTCCCATAGGATGAGAGTCGAACTTTAGGAATGACAAGTAGCTGGTGATTCTGGGATCGTAATGGTCGGGTTGGGATGTACTGACACAGAAGACTGGAGAGGTATTCAGGTGTTTGTCCATGTAGAGCTTTGAAAGTGATACATAGAATCTTGAAGTTAATCCGGAATTTGACAGGCAACCAGTGTAGAGACATCAGTGAAGGTGTGATATGATCTTTCTTGGACTTGAGGCAGACGATGCGAGCTGCTGAGTTCTGTAAAATTTTAAGTTTCTGAAGATGAGTTGAACTGAGGCCAAAGTGCAGACTGTTACAATAGTCGAGTCGGGAGAGTATAATGGATCGAACCAAAGAATGAGCACATTCTGTTGTGATGAGATTTCTGATGGAGCTGATGGTTCGCAGATAATAGTGACAGTTCTTATAAACATGGTTGACTTGCGGTTCCAAAGACAAACTTGCATCAAGATATACTCCAAGATCCTTAGTGACAGGGGAAGGTTGAATGTGAGATGTTGAAATCTTCACATTGCAGATGGAGGTTTTCTGTAGCTGTTTGGAATTTCCAAGGACGAGCAACTCCGTTTTGTCATCATTCAGTTGGAGTTTCCTTGTGTTAATCCAGGTCTTTATATCGGAAACGATCTGTAGATCAGTCACTGGAGATTGCAGATTAAGAATCCTGGTAACCTGATTGTCATCAGCATAGGCATAATGCCCACAGTCATGAGAGTCGATAATCGCGGGAAGAGAGTTTACATATAGCAAGAAGAGAATGGGACCAAGGACCGAGCCCTGGGGCACGCCACATGTTAACTCTACGTTGTCAGATGTATGATTCTGAACTTTTACAACCTGTGTTCGCTGGTCCAAATATGAGGAGAACCAGCTGAGTGCTGGTCCTTTGACACCAACTTCATGTTCCAATGTGTGTAACAGGCACTTGTGGTCAACCGTGTCAAGCGCTGCACTTAGGTCGAGTAGGACTAATGCTGGCCATATTGCCACTGTCCAGGATCATTCTGAGATCATTCACTAAATGAAGGAGAATGGTGTCTTGTAATGTGGCAATGTGACAATACGTTCACTATCTCCACTCACACAACTCGAAGAAAACTATGGCACATATATACATATAGAAAGCTTAGGATAATGGTTGTTAAAACAGAAGGTTAATCAAAATGCTCTTGGGCTTTACATGAGTACCTACACTTACACGTGGACTTTGGCTTTAATTGAAATTAACAAATTTAGTTATTTTTTACGACATTACCATATTTAACAAATAACCAAATAACATTATTTAGAATGTAACTAATTTAATGACTCTACGAAAGAACTAATAAACGTAAGCATAATGTAGTGTTAAAGTATAAACTGACTCATTTAAAGTTTGTGCTGCCATATGGACCTTGTTGCCTTGTCTCTAGTACTTTTGTTGGGTTGAGTCCCATCTGGGATTCGAACCCACAACCTCAGAGTCAGGAACCTAATCGCCAGCACACCATGTTACACGCCTTATTTCACATGACAAAGAAAGTTTATACACATAGCAAAAATATTGGTCCTGGTCCACTAGTGGATGTCGGGGTGGCTGAGCGGGTCAGGCGGCTGACTTTGTGAGCTGGCGATTAGGTGCCTGAATCTGAGGGTGCTGACTCGAATCCCGGATGGCACTCAACCCAACAAAGTTCTAGAATCTGTACTTTTCTAGAAAGTGTAATCCCAAATATTACATGTTACGTTTGACCACTTTCTAAATGGCATTGTGTATCCATAACACATATATGTATAGCTCGACTGGAATCTTTAGAATTTTAATACCTCTTTTCTGTTTCTAACCTTACTCTCATTTCGTATGTATAATAGATAAAACGAGCTAGATTGGTAATTTCTTAGAGATGCATCAATATTTTGCCACCTTTACACGCTATTCTTTAAAGGTAAGGCACCAGCTCTGAATTTCATCAATACTTTACAGAATTTATATTCCAAATTGGGAGACAGATATCCCTCTGGCTCAAGAAGACGCTTATATTCCGTATATAACTTATAACGTGAACTATTTTCAAGAGAAGATGTCCAACTGATCATGTATCAGAGTGTCAGAACACATAAGGTATGAAAAAGGTGTTTCGCTCATCAAAAGCATTAACGTTCTACAAAGAATGGACAAAGACATGGTTAGAATCAGTTCTAAGTGGATTTGGATCTCGGTTTGAATTCCATTATTATCTTCCCTGTTTCATTAAGAGGCAACCATCTGCAACAAGGGTCGCTCTAACTCTAAAATAGTGTTCAAAGCAGCCTTGAGCTAAATTCACTCATCAGAAAATGGGGAGCTTTAAATATATCTTCTGGCTCATTGTGGTTGTGGATTCCGTTGGTACAGCGTTGTCCGCATCTTGTCCCTTTTTTCATCCCGCTGAGACGTGTCCCTGGCAGCGAGCAGGATGTTGTGCAGGGCGTGTAGGTACAGGATGCTGGTGTTGGTGTTGGTGAACTTTTCTACTGTATAGTTCTTCACAACGCTGATACATGTTTGAGGCAACCCTGTCTCCTTAGAAGCATACTCCACCGCTTTCCGAACCTCCTCAGAGTCAAACACGTATGGAATATTGTCGGAATCCTTCAAGAGTGGTTCAACTGCATCAGAGTGTGTCAGGATCACGTGAACCGACAGAACTGAAAAGAAACATTCTCATGTAAATCATTCATCTTTACACACCAAGGACGTTTTGAAAATTGAGCGGTTTTTTTAAATGTAGTATTTACCTTAACTTTTATTGAATAGGCTATCATCTTCACAAACACGTTTTGATTACTTATAAGTTGCTGGAAGTGAGCAATCATATTGTAATTTGAGTAATAAATACCACGTGTCTAACGTTAAACTCTAATTTCGTCTGTTGTGCCTGTCAAAGACGTCAAACGTAAACCTTGATACACCCGAAAACATAACCTTTGCCCAATGATGACATAATAGGTCCAGCAATTCTTGCGACGTGAGCTTAACTTGCTCCCAACTGGACCATACCAACTGCTCTCTCCCTTGTAGGTCTCGGCATGTATCCTTCCCGTGTTCTCCGGTATTTTATTGTTGAATGATCACGTTCGTTTGTCATGACATCGTTGTTATTCCATTATGTACAGTCAGGTCATGGGTGCAGCGATTTGTTATTGGTAGAGAAATACTATCATCTGCATTCAATTGACTTAAACTATTTGCAGTTAAGAGTAATAATTCAGTATAATTAGAACAGTTAATACCTGAACAATGTATCTGATTTTTAAACTGGGCTGGAAAAATACTCTTGTCAAGCAAGATGGTTCAATTATGAAACTAAGTGTAGAACACTTTTTTAAGCATAAACTGTGTTCTTGAATATCGCTGTACATTTCATTTGGCAGATGGTTTCATACAATATTAAGCTTTCAAAAAAAATAGTTAACCTTAGTTAGTTTTGATCGTTTGATCAATCAACAAATGATCTCTGTTACGTACATTTATGCTAATTTGTTGAATGGCGCAGCTGAAAATAGTTCCGGCAAAAAAGTCTTATTTCGGTCAGTCATGTGACGATTGTATATTTTCAGGTAGGTGCAATATTAACTGCAGTTTTTCATCTCTAAATAAATAAGCACTAAATAAAAAGGTACAGTTACCTCCTCGTGAATGTAGTTTTATCAGCACATTTATCTGTCGCTTTACATTTTCGGCTATTGCAACCCCTGCCTTTTGGACAATAACTACACACGACGCCTTGACCCTGTGCTGTGGTGGAAGGATGCTGGAGCTATCCATAGCTTCTAGCGTTGGTTTGATCTGAGCATAAATGAAAACAATAAATATTCTTCAAACAGTCTTTGAAAGCCAGACAAAATGAAACTGACTAACACACCGATAATAGAGCAAAGATGGAAAGTAGAATACATCTTCAATAAAACTTCGGGCATAGGTTATGTTGCATCGTCTTTGCCTGGGTCAAAGATTAATTTCTGACACCTCTGGCAGTTTTCTGCGGATTTCAAACCGAAAAGGCACTTCATTACTTTTTATTATGCTAATATAAATTGAAAACGCACCACCAGTAAAATGTATTTTTATCCGGGCGTAATTCATCTGAAAATATATCAGCGAATGAGGCATACACAATGTTCTTGACAAAGCATGATGAGCTACAGCATTTCATGTCAAATTCGCTGGAGTATAACATCCCCTTATCCCTGGTCTTTGCAGCCTGGAGTCCCGCTGCAATATAAGATCGTCCTTGTTGACACTCCACGGTGGGTGGGGGAGAGGGATGCCGAACCACATTACCCACAACATGGCTTCCCAATACCACGGTTCAAAACGAAGACATATGGATACCGACAATTCCTCGTCTGACGAGAGTACGCCCCCGACCTGACTACTGGCCACGCTTCCTGATTATTGAGGCTTGTGACAAGCAACCTTTGCAATTGAACCCTTTTGCAATCTCCAAAGGTATCGCTGGTATCTGCGGAGAGGTTGCCAATGTCACAAAGCTCCGATCTGGCTCTCTCCTGATAGAATGTACCCGGAAACACCAATCTGTAAATCTTCTCAAAATACAAGAATTTGTAAATATCAAGGTCGCTGTCTCAGCACACAAAACCCTTAATTCGTGTAGAGGCATTGTACGGGACAGAGCTCGATGCCTGTCTGACATGACTGAAGAACAAATTGTCAAGGAACTCTCTCAGCAATCCGTCACAGCCGTCAAACGATTTACCTTCAAAAGGATGGTGTTGTTCAACCAACGAACACCTATCTCTTCACGTTCGCGCGAGCAAACATTCCTGACTCGATTAGAGCTGGTTATTGTAGCATTGGTGTGGAGGTGTATGTCCCCAATCCACTCCGGTGCTACAACTGCCAAAAGTTTGGACATGGATCCAAGTCCTGTCGTTCCTCTGCTGTCTGTTACCGCTGTGGTGACAAGCATGAGGGCAACGACTGTACTAAGGGAAGTGAAGTGCACAAACTGCGGTGGTAACCATATGGCCTCTTCCAAGTTCTGCCCAGTATGGAAACGCGAATCCGAGATACTGAAGATAAAACACAAAGAAAATATCTCCTTTCACGAAGCAAAGAAGAGGGTTGCAAGTCTAACTGCAGCCCCTTCAACCATCACCTACTCTGCTGCTGTCTCCCGTCCTACCATCACTACTGCAACCATCTCATGTCAGACCGACCTGACATGGGTCACGTCTTCCCAGCCAACTGAACTCAACACAACTCAGCCTATCTCAGCCACTCCATCTCCAACGCCAAAAGTCAAAACTTCTGAATCACAAACACCAGAACAAATGCCAAAACCAGAGACAGAAAACTGCGCGCAGAAAAAGGGAAAAAAAAAGAGGCTAGAGAGACTAAAGCAACTCGAACAACCGCCAAACACAAAACCAAAGGCCACCTCTCCCTCAGAGGTCCCCATCGAGGTCCATAACTCCTTTGGCCCTCTGGATATGGAGGTAACTTCATCTCCACCAGACACCAATAGGAGTTCATCAAACGCTTTCTCACGTTCACGTGACATGTCACCAGTGGAAGCACCATGAATCCACAAAACATTATCCAATGGATTTGCAGAGGACTTAAGAATAATTATAATGAATTACAGCTATTGATTCAAGACTTCAAACCATCTGCGTTTTGTCTCCAAGAAACCTAAAAAGGACCGATAAATTTGACATCCGTCGGTACAGTTCCTACCACTCCTTTTCTCCTCCCGGTGTAAAAGCTACAGGAGGCACTTCTATCCTGGTGAGGCAGGGCACCCTCCATAGCCCTGTCCCACTTAACACCAACCTACAAACTGTTGCTGTCCGCATAACTCTGAACATAGGGTTTACACTATGTTCCCTCTATCTCCCTCCCACCTCAACTGTCCGCCTATCAGATCTTCAGAACTTATACGATCAACTCCCAAAGCCCTGCATAATCATGGGCGACTTCAACGGCCATAACCCCCTATGGGGGAGTAATGATACAAATAGTAAGGGAAAGATCCTTGAAGAGTTTCTCTCCAATAATGATGTATGCATCTTCAACGATGGATCAAACACCTACCTCCATCCTGCCACTGGATCATACTCTCGATCTATCACTTACAGATTCTAATCTTTTAAATGAGTTCGAATGGTCGGTCCATGACGACCTTTGCGGAAGCGACCACTTCCCAACAATTCTTACTCCTATCAACCCCACGGATGAACCACCATCAACAAGATGGAATTTTACTAAGGCCAACTGGCCTTTATTCCAAACCCTATGTTCAGAAAAACTTAGGCCGGACAACTTCAGGAATGTTCCTGACCCCATGGAACTATTTTCAGACGTTCTAAATGCCATCGGAGACAAAACTATTCCTAAGTCCTCTGCAAACCCGCACATACGTAAACCATGGTTTGATACAAACTGCAAACAAGCTAGGAAAAATAGGAAGAAGGCGGAAAAATATTTCCGACAACATCCGACAGTGCATAACCTGAATGCTGTTAAAATGACAAATGCCAGAACAAAACGTACCTTCAAACAAACTAAACGCCGCTCATGGAGAAAATATGTGTCCAAAATCAACTCCCGCACACCCATGTCCAAGGTGTGGAACATGATTCAAAAGATCAAGGGCAAGGGTCAAAATCAGGAGTTCACCACCTGAAAGATGGCGACTCCCCTTCTAACAAATAAATCTGAAATTGCAAACAAACTTGGCGAAACTTTGGCAAACCACTCCTCCTCATCAAATTATAACCCTCAGTTCCAGAAATATCAAACCCAACAAGAAAAGAAACCAGTCAATTTTAACTCTGATAATGGGAGGATTACAACGAAACGTTTTCCCTCCATGAATTACGTACTGCCCTAGGACAGGCTCACGACACTGCGGCAGGAGCTGATGAAATCCATTATCAGCTTCTGAAACACCTCCCGGACATAGGCTTGGAAACACTCCTAAATATATTTGATGACATCTGGACATCCGGACACTTCCCCCCTTCGTGGCACAATGCCATCATCATCCCTATACCAAAACCCGGTCGCGACCATACTGATCCCTCAAACTACCGTCCTATATCACTAACTAGCTGTGTTTGCAAAACCATGGAGCGCATGGTCAACAATCGATTAATCTGGTACTTGGAGACCAATAACCTCCTCAGTGACCTCCAATGTGGTTTCCGAAAAAACCGAAGTACCATTGACCATCTGGTGCGTCTGGAAGCATTCATCAAAAACTCCCTTGTCAACAAACAACATGCAGTATCTATCTTTTTCGACTTAGAAAAAGCATATGATACAACATGGAAACATGGTATCCTTAAAGATTTACACGAGTTTGGATTGAGGGGTAGACTACCTCAATTCATATCTCGGTTTCTAAATAACAGACAATTCCAAGTTCGGGTGGGTTCCACACTGTCTGACTACTTCCACCAAGATCAGGGCGTCCCCCAAGGCAGCATCCTGTCTGTCACACTTTTTAGCATCAAAATTAACAGCCTCACTAACGTTCTGAACAGTTGCGTTGATAGGTCCCTTTTCGTCGATGACTTCAATATTTCATGTCGTGGTAAGAACATGCATGCAATAGAAAGGCGGCTACAACTCTGCCTTAACAAAATCCAAAAATGGGCCAATGAAAACGGTTTTAGGTTTTCAAAATCCAAAACGAATTGTATTCACTTTTGTCGTAAATACAAACCACACAAGGATCCAGACCTAACTTTAGATGGTACTCCCATCAAAGTAGTAGAAGAGGCCAAATTCCTTGGACTCATATTCGACCGCAACCTGACATTCTTACCACACATAAAATATGTGAAAACAAAGTGCCTGAAGGCTTTAGACTTGCTAAAAGTAGTTTCAAATACAGAGTGGGGAGGGGATCAGACCACCCTCCTTCACCTGTACAGATCATTAGTCCGCAGTAAACTGGATTATGGCTCCATTGTCTACGGTGGAGCCTGCAAAAGCAATTTAGAAAAATTAGACTCTATCCACCACCAAGGACTAAGGCTCTGCCTGGGAGCTTTTAGGACCTCTCCGGTAGACAGTCTATATGCGGAGGCCAATGAACAACTTCCTTGAACAACGCCGCATTAAACTCTCACTGCAGTATATCACTAAATTACGTTCAAATGAGTCCAATCCAGCATACAATTGTGTTTTCAACCCGCTCTATGAAAACTTATTTCCTAAACTGCCAAGTCTGGTTCCACCACTTGGAATAAGGATCAAACCACACATATCTGCAGCTAAAATTGATCTCAACATCATTGCGCCTTACCGACTTCTGTCCTCACCACCATGGCAAATGGTGAAACCTCAGATCGATCTTACCCTCACCAAACTCAAAAAGTCTGATACAAATCCCTTGGTGTTCCAACAGGAATACAACCAGTTACGTTCGAAGTATAACACTCACAGATCCATCTTCACAGACGGATCCAAGGACGATGGCCAAGTTGCCAGCGCTACAGTCGTGGAGCCAAGACTGTCTCCTCTAGGATCCCCGACAACAGTTCCATTTTCACCGCTGAAGCCAAAGCTATCTTCTCAGCTCTGACCTACATTCAACAGCAAAATCAGTCCAAAACTTCATCGTATTTACAGATTCATTATCCTGCCTTCAAGCACTTCTAAACGTGACTTCAAGTCACCCAATTGATGAAAAACCATCCCTAAATCCACTGTGGGCGACATCACCAAAACGCAACCAAGTGCGTGCACATCAAGGAAAATGTGTTGTCTTTTTGTCAGGAAAAGCATTCAGAATAAGACTAAACGACTGTCTCTTAAAAGCCACATCACGTGTTGCTGTTGACGTAAATGGTATTGACACAAGAGATGCTAAGATTGACAGCGGAGGAACGTGAACGTGTCTTGGGCATGCTTCAAGTTGGCATGTCAAGTAGAGTTGTTGCGCAGCGGTTTCAGTTCCACCATGCAACCATCCTCAGACTACAGATCAGATAAGAGCAGACAGTGTACAGATACTTCTCTGAGATCACCATTATACAGTTCGTCGCCATCTTGAAGATGCGCTGCGTCAGGTGTGGAATGCTATCCCCCAGGACACTGTTCAAAGACTCACTGGGTCAATGAGGAGACATTGCATGGCCTGCGTTGCTGCCAATGGTGGACATGCCCGATATTGACTTCTTATTTTGACCCCATGTGTCTTCCATACACTGGTGACGTACATGTAATCATTGTGTGTTTTTTATACCCTTTGTTGTCTTTCTTAATAATCTATGTATTCCTCTTCTAAATAAAATTGGTTACAGCTCAAGCCGTTTTTGTGATATGTCAAGATTTCTTACTGTTGCGTTTTCAGTGCGGTTCAGTATAACATGTACTAGTTCCTTTTAGCTTTGAAATAAAGGTTGGCACAACTCGTGTGAGTCACGAAGGACATTCTTTGTATGGAGGCAAATTTAATGCGCCAAGGTTACTGACAAACAACCGATTGCGGGGTAATTTTGTAAAACTACACCTGACCCTGCTCATTGTGTTACCTGACAAATACAAATACTTGTCAACAATCTTGCCATAGTGCACCAGCCTCGTACACGCTCTGTAGGTGACATTGTTCATTGTACTTACTTCTTCATAGAAAGGAACCGCTCCCGTAACAATCTTCTCAATGCTGTCATCTGTGAAAGCGTCACTGTTGAATACGCCCGGCATGTCAATCAACCAAAAGTAGGGCTCGCAAGTGCAGTTTTCTCGACAGGACTGACGGCAGAAATCGTCTCGGTGCAACTGCGAAACGCAAACAGGAATCACTATATATCATAATCAGAGAATCCAGTTACATACTTCCTTCTGTCTGATAGGCTGGTGGCGCACCACGCATACATCCATACTTGGTTATCACAACCAAGATTTACTTAAACAAGTACGATACAAACACAGCATGTGATGCTAAAACACTCCTTTTCAAATGCTGGGCAAGTAGGTGTCTTACTTTTAACTTTATTTTCCTGCTATCACAAACCTTTGTCACAATGTCACATATAGAATATATTGTTATTTGAATGCCATACTATGGATATCATGCCACCAAGAAAAGATTGATAAGGTTGCCATAAACAGCAAGATTACCATAATGGCTATGCTGTGGCAATAGCTGAATATACTACTGAGGATTTCTTTAATTATACACATGTAAGCACGCACGCACACATACATACATTGGTGTATCTGTACACTTGGTGCACCTCTAAGGGGTAAAATGAACATGCATATTCACCTTGGAATTATCACATTCAACAACTCACATCTTTAGTGTAGCTTCCATGTGTTCTAATTCCCACAGGAAAATAATTCGAGACGTTCCTGTTCCCTCTCATGGCGGTTTGAATTCCATTTGCAAGAGAGGATTTACCAAATCCAGTCTGTCCAAACAAAATGACGACAATTCCGTCTCTCTGTGTGACTTGGGTTATGCAACGGCGAAGGTTCACTTCTCCCTGAAATGAAACAAGTCCTGGGATATACAAAACAATATAGTTCCATACATAGGTCGACAAGTAGGTTCCATATGTCACTGAAGGCAACATGTTTTGATAAGTTAGTTACCTTTTCAAGGATTAGATCTACAGTTTGACGCCAAACTCTTAGTGTTGAATTCATACTTTCAGAAACACCACCAACATGATGGTCACTAACTGGTGACTGACGCATGGCGTATCAGTATTATGTCCCAGTCCTATCAGAAATACCTCTCGAGTCCAGACCAATGTCACATCTTTCCCCCATTTCTCCGTCGGTGGTGGCTGAAACATGACAGCAATACTCAATGTCATTATTATCTCCTTTATCCTAGGAACAACAATGGTTGGGTCAATCCCAGTTTTGTAAATAGTCAGTTAACAAAACTTAACTTCTGGAAATTTCTTACAAACATAGTTTACCATACATATGTGATAGAAAAGCATACATATATAAAGCCACCCAGTTTTAGAAATTACTTTACAAATTAAAACAGGGATACACATACCCAGCCAACACAAAACGCCGTTACGCACACACACACACACAGACACACACACACACGCACGCACGCACGCACGCACGCAGGCGCGAATAATATATATGCAAATGAATTGCACATATACTTTCAGCTGTTACTGTGTTAGTGATCATGATATGCAAAGAAAAAAGTGTCTATTCTTTCACATCGATTTCCACATTATACAACGAGACAGCACACCTCAGGCCTACATATGTAAGATGAGACTGTCAGCCACTTACAGGAGTTGGGGGCCTTTCCTTGGACTGTTTCCTCCCATGACTTCTGGAAGATAAACAGTCGTGTATCTGATCATGGCGTTACTATCACACACATATCGGGACAGTATATTGAGTTGATGGGAAGATTTGTATGTGTCACTTTCCTCAAACTGAAGCATGTCACCTGACATTGTATCAGATGTCACAACCATAATCTATAATGTCATACGTGTGTCCACACATACCAAGTGGATTCAGGGAACATTTCTATCACATACAAAGACACAGTCTGTTTACAATTGAAGTGCAATATGTTCTTTTTAAGAATTTAGAGCAGAACGCACTCCCATGGGACTACTGTAGCACTGGTCACAGTGTCTGGTGCCGTGCTTTAACATCATGATGAGTGACGGAAACACTAGTTAAGGCTATTTTGTATTTAACTTAACTGATTGCTAAATAATACTCAAAATATCAAGGGTTCAATTCTATAGACGGAGATGGTTCGCGACCAAACTATGTCCACTTTGAACCATGTTTAAGGCCTTCTATATGTTTGAAGCATCTGGCTATTATCGTAAAGTGTAATGTGCGCTACGGCCGGTTAACCGTGGCTTACGAGTCAACAACACTTATATACTTCAATTTTACATAAATTACGACATGGACATATACAGTATAAGTAATGCACTTTAGTTTAAAAAGAAACATATTATAATACCTTTATACATCCATTCCTACCAACTCATCCGAATAACACGTGCAAGTGACGCAATATTTTTACATGCCTTTATTTTAAATACGGAGGTTTTGGACGTGTATAACGTATATAATGTTTTCAGTTCCAAAGGCATGGCACCAAAGCGATGTTTGTTTTAAACACATTGTATTTCAGGAGAAAGAAAAGGGATTGCAAACAAGCTCAGAGGGCTTATATAAATGCCTCTCTCGAACATATACATATTGGAGGAGGAACTGCCAATCATGGGACATTATACGTCTATTCATGCTGTTTTTGTCCTTCAAGTTATAGTTAAAGATTCTTTTGCTTTGAATATTGAACACTAACGTTCACTGGACGGTGGTCACTACAAATAGGATCAAGGACTCCTGAACAGCTGACACTTAATGAGCAAGAAACAAGTATAAGACCAAGTAATGAGCAGCTAGTGGCAGTGATTCTAGCTGCTACATTAAATATTTGGGTTAGGCCAAAGGAAGATTTTTGTACTGTCTGAAAGTGTGTCTATGTTAAAATCACCCAGAATAACAGTATCTATATTAAAATCGATAGTATTACCAATTGATTCTTCGATTGAATTCCAATAAAAGGCACTCTTATCAGCTCGAGAAAAGCATCCTATTAATAATTTGTTGTTGTTTTTGTTTTGTTTTCTGTTTAACTGAATTCAAATGGCCTCAAATCCGGGGTAGAAAAGGTCATCTAAGACTTTAGCAACTAAATAGTCTCTAACGTAAACGACAAGCCCACCACCTCGTGTGAGTCTGTCATTCTTGAAAGGAGGAGAAAATCCAGGAATGTGAATTATTCATTATGAAAATCATTTCTAAACCATGTTTCAGAAAGACCTATAACATCATTATTTTGAACTTCTGCACTAATTAGGTCATTCTTACCCTTTAAACTACGAACGTTTAAATGAGCGATGTTAGCTAATGCACATGGTCGCGATCGATCTAAAATATAACGTGCATAAAATGAAACGTTCAGAGCACTTGAGAAAAAGTCTAAAAATACTAAATTCCTTCTCGTTAACGTTATCCTAATGTGTCAAAGCCACAACGATTATACTTCCAATACGTATTATATGTTACTCTCATGGTAAATTAGTAATGAAATGTTTGCAATAGACAGTGCAAGCCTTATATCGACTTAAACGCTAAAAACAATGATTTATTTGGACATTAAATTAAGCATTTAATATACATATTTCTTCAGACCATTTAGTGGGGGTAAATATGGATAAAATGGTGATCTAAAAAAGATGTGTCATGTACTCTGACCAGAGAAGGAAATTAAACCTACACACATTTAAACAAATTCTGTGCAACTTTGTACAGCTTATGATTAGAAAAAGTTGAGGTTTCAAAAAAGGCCTTACTGGTTTAAAAAAAAAACCGTATGAAGGACATGTACATGTATGAATAAGTCTCGTCATGTTCTCTTAAACATTCAAGTCTGTACATGTTTCGTCTTATTCTCAAGCACGACGTTAAACCCAATTCCACCACCACCACCACTTAAAACACAAACCTCTCACCACCTCTGCAGCACCATACAGCCGTCCAAGGCCACATGACTAACAACACACCAATAAAAATGCACGAGTTCACCTACAGTCTTGATGGGAAAATATCGTCTGGTCTAAGGGCAGACAACATAACCTACATCATCTTCACTTCACTTCAGCCTGATTATTTAGTGGAAGAACCACCGACATCCTGCCATTCAGAGCATATATTAATAAGCGATTCTCTCCCTATGTAACAACAATATCTGAAATCTCTATTTCGAGTAGTTCCCTCTTGATGTATAGAGCTCCATTAAAAAATCTTTACTGAATACCCTTGGTATATTGTTGGAGTGAGACAGAAGTCAGATACATTCAGATGCACGAGACTTTCTTTATTTTGCGATAGCGCAGTGCTTATATTTACTTATATACTATTGGGTTTCTACATTGGTCATGCATATTCACATGAAAGCAACAAAAACATTGCCAACTGAGAATTGCTATTGTGTTTTAACTTTCTTTTCCTTATACAAAAAGCAATGTTATACCCCAACTGGTGTGAGACTAAACATTCAGTTATGATGACATATATGAATAATGAAAGCACGGTTACATGTAAACAACAACAACAGGTTGAATATATATTATCGCTATAGGTATTCTCTGTCGTAAATAAGGACGGATAAAGGAAGGTTTACAACACCTAATGTCAGACAAAACATTATCAAAGCTTCAATTTCTGCTTATGTTAGGATGTTCTGAGACATCATGACTTATGTAAACAAACGTGTGTGTGCCTGTCCTTGTATTTGATGGCTGTATTGTATCGCAGCAAGCTTACATTATCGAAAACACCATATGTCCTATATATTTGGTCAGGCTGACCTACTAAGTTGGGTAAACAAGGGACGTAGCTACCATTACGAAAAAAATATCCCGGGCTTACACATGATTGTTGCTACTAAGGTTGGACAAGTCCTGAATAATATCTAAATATAAAGCTTTGCAACCTATAGGGCTTACACGAAGAAAAATGGCTTGCTACGCGCCTGTAAATGTAAACAGTGGAGCACTACACGCTAATGACGACATGTACTCAGATATATTTAGGCGTTGTCGTGGTTGCACGCTAATGACGACATGTACTCAGATATATTTAGGCGTTGTCGTGGTTGCACGCTAATGACGACATGTAATCAGATATATTTAGGCGTTGTCGTGGTTGCACGCTAATGACGACATGTAATCAGATATATTTAGGCGTTGTCGTGGTTGCACGCTAATGATAACATATTAATGATGAAACACAGGCTGGCTTTACAGCCAGTTAATTATTCAAACACAGAAAACATATTTTCATTACAGGCCATTAAACATAACTATACTTATAAGAAAACTGGAAGATTTTACTGTCTATTTATTGATTTCTCTAAAGCTATTGTTTCTATAAAGCATGATGTCCTTTTCAAAAGTCTTAATGATGATGGTATTTAAGGTAAATTTCTTGACATTGTTTTATCAGGTTATTTCTGAGTTATGGGGGGTTAATTCTTGCAAAGAAGTTGAGAAGATACAGGCTAATCTTTGTAAATGGTATTTACAGGTTGGTCGAAAGACAACAGATTGCATGGGTGTCAGAATCCAACTCATGGCTGTATATATGACTAAAACTATGAAATATTGGTGTAGACTTATTCATTTAGATAACTCAAGACTACCTTTCCAGTGTTATGAGGAGCTGAAGTCACTTAATAATGATAAAAGTTCTAATTGGGTCACACACATAGAAAACATATTACTTAGGTGTGGATTTAGATTGGTATGAATATCACAGGAAGTTGGAAATGTTAAATATTGTATATCCTTGTTTAGGCAGACACTTTGTGATAACCTTCAGCAAGAACGATTGAATGATTTATCTAACTAATCAAAGTGTAGGTATTATAAACAATTTAAGTCATTACTGAATGTTGAATCTTATCTCACATGTAATATTCCATTAAGACTCAGATCCACCCTATCAAGATTTCGATATAGTAATTTTGGTTTGACTGTAGAAATTGAAATAGAAATTGTACTCTGAAAGGTATTGTCCATTTTCTAAATTGAATAAGGAATTATATATCGAAGATGAGTAGCATGTAATGTTTATCTGTAATAGTTACAGTTCACTTAGAAAAACTTACTTTGTAAATTTACACAGAAAGATTGTCAACCTGTACAACACTTTGTACATTTGATGTCCTCAGCAAATAATAATATTATTTATAAAGCATGTCATTATCTGGAGAAAGTCCAAAGATTAAGGAAAGAGATAAATATTACTTCATTACTTCGCACATGGGTCAAACATTCTGTAAAGACTGTATTTTGGGTCTTTCGGCCTTTGACTTAAATACGTCTGTCTGTCTGGAACGTTATTAGTAAATGAAGTATTAATTCGGGGGTGGGAGTGTCCTTTATTCCAAAAAAAGGACGAGCAATGCGATATGCTCTGATGTTATTGTGAGAAATATAATTTTCATAAAAATTACTAATTTTAATAAATCGATGAAACATTAATTATCCCATGACATTGATATAAACTGTCCACCTGTCCCGGGGTAAGCATGTTACCCATTATTATAAACCCTTCGATATTTCTGCGTGAAACCGCAAGCACACGCCAAGGAAGTGTTAAACTGGTGCCTTTTGCCATTGTAGGGTTTGACAATGAAGTACTTCTGTTTGCTTTTGTCTGTTTTATTCTCAGATCACCACAATAAAGACGGTATATTGTTTAATGTAGTGTTGCGTAAACAACACACCTTATCGGTCCGGGGATATCAATTGTAAAAATGTCAGTTCAATTACAATAGTTTAAGGTTAGCATCTCCAGTGTCAGGATTGATCAAAATTTATTTAATAGCAGTGTCTGCAGCTATCACCGCTTTCTAATTTCAAAACAGTATCATTTCATATCATAGCAACCTTCGGTAGTTTACAAATTTTATATATTCTAAATATTACGACCTACTCATAATAATGATATTTCTGAGTGTGATGAACAAATAATGTTATTACTTTATACTTACAGCTGTCGAGCTGTCTGTGCCGTGGGAGATGTGTGCGCTCTGTCGCTGGGAACGGGTACCCTACCCTCTAAGGCGCAGATATCGCATGCATGAAACCGAGGCTGATAACACCTTTTATGGACCTGTTTATGCGCAGTTGCTATTTGACGAGCCGTGGACACAGATGTGTAGCGAGGGTAGCAGGAAACAGGTACGTTTTCATACTGAACGTCTTTCAATATGTTCTCTAAATTTACTTTTTACATTCACTCTCCTCTCCCCACCTCTTTCTCTCACCGACACCGACACCAACACACTGGTGGCTTTCTGTGGAATATTTCGGTCCCATGTCTTCTGGAAGAAAAACAGTAGTGTATCTGACCATGGCGTAACTATCACAGTATATTGAGTTGATTGGAAGATTCGTGCATACACACACGCATGAACACATATATACACACATATACATACAGGCAGACAGGCAGATATGCATACACGCAGACAGGAGACTCATACACACAGACACATGCAGGCACAGGCAGGCAGGCAGGCAGGCAGGCACGCACGCACGCACGCACGCACGCACGCACACACACACACACACATACATACAAACAGACATAGACATAAACGATGTTGACATAAAAATGTTGTAGTTTTCAGGATGTCAAAGGTTGCAACCGGACCAGTGACATACAGGAGCATCGGAATGAATGGACAGAGCGACATGGGTAAGTCGGAACACATGTTTAGTATTGTTGACCATAAACCCTCTACAGTGATGAGAGTGCATGATATGTCCATGACTTCAACCACAGTTCATGCTAAATGCTGAATAACAAGTTCTTCTATCTGTGCTATCTGGGCGGTGGGGTAGCCTGGTGGTTAAACCGTTCGCTCGTCACGTCGACGTAGACGTTCGATTCCCCACATGGGTACAATGTGCGAAGCCCATTTCTGGTGTCCCCCCCGCAGATATATTGCTAGAATATTGCTAAAAGCGGCGTAAACCTTAACATCACTCACTCACTATCTGTGCTGTGGGATTATTGTTACATGTCCATGTCAACTCACATTTGTCTTACAAGGTCGTCACTATATGGCTGGAATAATGCCGATGTGACGTAAAGCCCAACTCAACTCAACTCTTACAGGGACTGATGAGTAAGTTCACTTTCAAATAAGAGTAAGATGAAATGAAAGTATTTTATATAGAATACAATATCCACCACACGTCACCTACAAAGAGGGACATTTATCTTTCAGAGAGAACACTGAGAGAGAAAACTGTCATCATCCCTGAGGGCGAACACGACACAATTCGAGAAGAATTCTTCCAAAATGTGATACGTTACAGAGCGAAAGGATCAAAGTTGAGGGAGGATGTTCCCTTCATCGTCATATATCTGTCTTCATCTCGCATTAAAGATGAAGAGGGGCTCATTTTTGACAAATTAAGAGGTAGATCATTTTTACAAGTCTGTCAAATGTATAGACTAGTATTTCAACAGAATGAAAAGAGTGATTGCTTCCACATGTTGAATAAAAGCCCAGTATTTTAGTAAGAGTCGATGTCTATATTTGAACAGCATAAATATAAAATTGACTACCATAATTAATATACTGTTAGAATGACGATTGTGTCTGGGACAAATTTAGTTTTCCAAATTTGACTCATGTTACCAGAAACATTTATGAATTGTGTTAGTTTATAAATGCTTTATACATTTTCTATCACATAATCATATTTCTCCCTCAGGTTTGCTTTCGGCTATATTGATCATTGCATCAGTTGGAAAGGCTTCTGAAGTAAGCATCGACCTTCCAAGAGACTTGGAATCTACCGTCAAAGACATCTTGCGTCTTTTCATTAAAAATGGACAGATTCTCAACGATGACATGGACAACAAATACATGTTTCACCGTCTGCTGTTCCACTGTTGTCAACTGGAGCGTGGTTGGATAGATTATATAAAGGAACATTGCATTAAAATCGCCATTGGTTGCGGTGTCGTGTGTTTGATCATTGTGACAGTGGCACTTACAGTACGCTTTGCGTAATAATATGCTTGTGAACGAAAGCTCGAAGCTATGCAGGCCTCAGCTTTGTAACATTGGGGATGGTGTCGGGATTCCAACTTCCGGACATGGCTTTCCGTGTGCCCACATAACTAAGCACACCGATCTGACTTCGAGGACTGGGTCATCCGTCTCCCAGGCAACAGATGGACAACAAACTACACCAGCGATGTGTCATCCGTTTTCCAGGCAGCAGATAGCTACAACACTACGCGTAATCTATATGTGACACGAAAGCTCTCAGTAATGTATGCTTTTCAACGGATCGGGACAACGAATAGAACACCAATATCGTGTTCACGTTGACTATTATGAAACAGCGGGGCCATCGAGTATACTCCGCTGCATTTGATTCGAGAATGTCACCATGACATGTACAACTATGCATTGCATATTGACAAAAAGATCATTTGGCACCAGCTGCTTACCCGTGGTGACTGATTCTAACAACGCTTTTCCACTCATGTTAATGAAACCACTTCGTAGTTTTAGCACTGGCAACATGAATGTTTAATAAACAAACCATTTACAGTTGTGTTGTGTCATAAATATGATTTTGTTTTTCTACCATATGGGTAGAAGAAAGACGTCATTGTATAGTTAATATTTCAATTTATATTGACACTGAATCCAAATGTCCATGACATTCGTAACATATACTACAGTTTTTCTGTCGAAAAAAGTATCTCCATTTACATTTGAAAGGAGACCCAGTGAGACTGAACAGTCCTGAAACTTATGAAGAAGGGAAAATTATATTGTTGATGGACTTGGGATAGACTATCAATTTTTCGACACCTATAGTGACATTGTACAAGATGTTTGGATTTTCACACTAGGTCCGATTTGTCACGGCGTGGAATTGTTTCTGCTTGTTTCCCATCACAGAATGTGGTGTTGATATCAGCAGGAATACAATCAAGTGTGTCTGAACCAGTGGTTTCACTTTCATGTTCTTGTGCATATTTAAAGATGTTAAATCTTTCCGTTGCCCGACTAGAACCTTGTTGGTGTGGAGGTATTCTTTAGGAATGTATTTCAGTTGTATCTATAAACTGTGAGGCAGTTCTTGTGTTCAGCCATTAGAAGAAGACATGGTCTTCAGTGAATCTGCCGTTTTTTTAGCGTTATAAAATTCGTAGGCTCTCACGTGTTGGTTCACGGATATTAACAACACTTATAAGTAGTTCTGAATTAATGAGGATCATTAACATCCCTCCATGAATGGAGGACCAAATTAGAAAATCATCCAGTCAAAAGATATTTTGTATCTCGACGAATGCGTCGGGTGTGGTTTAAACATATTTTATTCTATTCCATAAGAAAGAAAAAGGATTGGCAAACAAGCCTAAATGGCTTATATTAATGCCGCTCCATAATACATGTGAAGGTTCACATTTGTGCATAATGTTGTACATATTTATAGTGATTATATCAAGTTATCTCTGAATAATAACAATCATGGATATCAACAATTTATCTTGGTTTTGTTTCGTGGCCAGTTGATACCAATAAAAAATAAGAGAAGCTACAAAAACTTTACGAATCAAAACATTTTGATGTAATAAGGAATTGATGGACTGACCATAGAATATCCATATTCGTCTGATGAGATACTGATGTATTGCCATTTATCACATCCCGCAGGGAGAAACCTTTCACATAGAAATACGATTCGTATCGAATGGTATTATATTTAGGACACATGAAAAAATCACTTTGGAACACATCCTCATAATCTTGTGAGCAGGAACAAGAAGCATTATCAGAAATGAAACGATTATCACTGTTTAAGTCACTGCATCCCAATCTAAGGCGGCAGTGTATTATTTGACAAAATCGACTACCAAAATTTAGATCGAACATTGTGTTTGTATTAACTTGTGGTGTGATTGAATTCTTAAACTGTCCAACAGAGGTAGCATTTGTAGGTAGGTCATTCCACAGTTTAATTGTATCGGGCAAAAACGATTTGGCATAATTAGTAGATTGGCATGTTATAGTCTGATAATTTTGATTATTCCTAAGATTATAGTTACTGTTATCAGAAACATTCCCTGGAGCAAGATCACAAAGATAGTCAGGAACCATATGGTTTACCATTTTGTAAAATAATGTTAATTTAGAAGTTTCTCTCCGTTTCGATAAGGAAGTCAGGTTTGTCTCATGATATAGTTTCGCATGGCTCGTACCTCTGACTGCACCGCATATTGTGCGTAAGGCACCTAAGTGAAGGTTTTCTAGTGACAAGGACTGTTCGTTTGTACAATTGTCCCAGAGATGACAGCAATAGTCAAATAGAGGTAAGATAAAGGATTTATACATTGTTTCGAGAGTTTTGCGTGATAGTCTATATTTAAAACTACGAAGGCAATTAATCATAGGGCTAATTTTCCTTATCATTTCATTAATGTGGGAATGCCAAAAGCGGTTTTCCTGAAAAATAATGCCTAAGTGTTTATGGATCTGCACTTCATTTATAGGGGTACCATTCATCGAGAGGGGAGGTTTCGTAGAAGGTTTCGTTTTGTGTGAAAACTGGATAGTTTCAGTTTTGTTTGGATTACATTTTACTTGCAAGGTTTCCGCCCATTTAGATATTCTTTCTAAATCTGAGTTAAGAATAAATGCACTCGTATGGGGATCGTCGATTATTACATAGAGTGATGTGTCGTCTGCGAAATGGCGTATATTACTTTCGATTCCATCAACTATGTCGTTTATGTATATTAAGAATAAAAGAGGTCCAAAGACTGATCCTTGGGGCACTCCGGCTATTATCGGTTTTAATTCTGATTTGTAACCTTGGATAACTACTCTTTGCATTCTATTTTGCAAATAACTTCCAAACCATTTCAATAACTTCCCATCTATCCCACATGGTTTTAGTTTATGGATAATCCCTTTGTGCCAAACTTTATCAAATGCCTTGCTTATATCGCAGAATACATCTCTTACTTCTTTTCCGTTGTCTATAGCTTTAGCAATAAAATTATACAAATGAGTGAGTTGGTAAGCTGTTGAATCTCCTGGCATGAATCCAGATTGTAAATTTGAGAGGCAATTGTTATCTCTCATGAAGTTAAAGACATATTTAAATATACATTTTTCAAAGACCTTGGATAAACAAGATGTTAAGGCAACGGGTCTTTAGTTCGAACAGTCGTTCCATATATCTGGGAAAACTGAGGTTTGAAGTGACTTGTTAAAGAGGTTAGTTAATGCTAGTGACAAGGAGGGGGATACCAAACGTAGGAAGCGGTTTCCAATACCATCTGGTCCACTCGCTTTGGTAATGTTTAACGATGATAGAACATCTTCAACATCCTGCTTTGTAAGATAAATTCCTCATATATTTACTATTATTGTTTAAGGTCATATTTGGAAGGTCCTTATTAGAGTCAGCGATTGTTGCCTGGTCAATAAAGTAATTATTTAAAACGTTTGCTATTGATTCTGGTTCTTGATAGACTTCGTTATTGTGAGCAATAGGAGGAAAGGAGGTACTTTCAGATTTTATGTTCATATAGTTTTTAATTAAACGCCACCGTAGTTTAGTGCTATGATTATTGTTTATTTGAGTGTCTAATTTTGTTGTATAATCTTTCTTTGCTTTTTTAACTGCAGAAGTCACTTGATTTCTTAATGATCTAAAAGTAACCCAGTCATTTTCACCATTTTTTTGTTTCGCTATTTTATGTTGTCGATTTCGTTTCCGCATGAGTTTGCGAATGTTATTATTCATCCAGGGAGTATCTTTACATCTTATTGTAACAATTTTGTTTGGTATATTGGAATCGCAGATATGAGATAAGGTATTCACAAATGCACCTGTGCTCACATTTATGTCAGGTGATGACAGTACGTTTTCCCAATCAGTATTATCAACGTGGAAGCATATATTGTCTTTGTTTACCAATGTGTAATCGTAAACTTTTCTCAGATATATTTTCGTTGACTTCATACATTCTTTTATTGTTACGGATACTGGACAGTGATCGCTACAAAAAGGTTCTAAAACATTTGACTTTTTTACCATATCGAGACGAGAAACAAATATCAAATCAATAAGGGTTTTACAGTTTTGGGTGACTCTGGTTGGTGAGTTTATAAGTTGATGCAAACCGTAAGCCACCATAAGATTGTTTATTTTAGCGTCTAATTTGTTGTAAATATCAATGTTAAACTCTCCAACAATGATTGTATCTAAATCCATATCCATTGCATCTCCAATCGATTGATCTAACAGGTTCCAATACTGCTCACTTTTGTCTGCTCTATAAAATACACCCACTAGATACTTCCTGCTTTTGTAGCGGAGCTCTATCCATAATGCTTCCAGACCAATCTTATCTAAGGTTTCTAATCGTTTTGCGATGAATGTGTTCTTAACGTAGACAGCGACCCCACCACCCCGTGTAAGTCTATCTTTTCTAAAGGGTCACTGAAAGCCTGGAATAAGAGTATTACTATCTAAAATACTTTCATGGAGCCAGGTTTCTGTCAAACAGATAACGTCATATTCGTTCAGTTCTAGACCTATGAGTACAATGTTATCTTTAACACTACAGGCTTTTAAATGGATAATTTTAAGATCAGTATAACACGTTGGTCCTGGGTTGGGATGGATATCACCACAAAGTAATAGCAATAAGGTTAGGAGTAGAGATTTTCTAGCATCGTAAAGGCACGTCATCATTACTACAAACTTTCGAAAGTTTAATAAATGTGTTTTTTCAGAAGAGATTTTTAGAGAGAACAAACCCACCGATTGCCTGTATTGAGAAATGTTAACTGGCATTATCGGTCGCTATGAGATCAAATGAATGGTGGGGATACAAACTAGAACTGGTATAAACTGACCACGAAACATGAATTAAGTCACGTCTGCAAAAATGGTAACAATCAATTACATTCTGAATACAAAATGCACTATGTGAACTCAGATCATTTGTCATGAAGGGGAAAGTCACGAACAGTACGTAATTGTTGTAAAGAACAATGAAGGTAAAAAGTAAGAAGGCAGATTATTACCATGCGTCGGGTGTTTCCGATTTACAGATGCCACATTCCATTCAGGACAAAGGAATGTACTTGTGCGCGGAAAGATGAATATCGATCAGTGAAAACATAGACAAGAAAAACACTTCCTGACCTAAGGACACTTGATTAACTTACAGTGATATCGGTAAATACAATGCTACTGGGATACGTGTCCTTAAAGTGAACAAGGGAATGAACAGAGCATTGTACTATGCATTGATACTAAAGTGGCACATACATAACACATTCTGATACATCTATAAAAAGTGTTCGGAAAAAAGTCCACGGAAAAAAAAGTACCGGTAAAAAAGTGCTTAATTTGCCAAGGAAAAAAAGTCTCCGGAAATAAGTCTTACTTTTATTTTTTTGTATCAACTGTTAAGAAAAAACTTAGATATTCGGGTTTTTAATACTTTATTCACATACAACAATGTAAATTGCATTTGCAGGACTTTTTAAATTTTTAATACTTTATTCACATAGGCACT